AAAAAATAGAACAGGGGGAGGAATTAGGGTTAACCTGAACGAGGCAGCGATGAAGACTAGGATCGAATTGGATGGCGATTCAGAAAATGGGGCTCTATTTCTGTCTACGACCCTTCTACAACAACACTTCCGAATTCTCTATTTTGCCCTTGTAGAACAATGGGCTCAAGTTAGCATCCGGGCAAGTAAAACAGAACAAACCAGATTTTTTAATGGGCCGTTGGCCTAGTTAGGTTTGCTCATGGGCCGGATGTCCAACATATGATCTTTTTAATAAAGAATTAGTAATAGATTTGTGAAATTTCTTTTTCCATTCATGCTAAGTGTAAGTGACAACTTTTCAAAGGTCAGGTTGAGGCTAAAAGAGGGAATATCTCATTAATCTTAAATTCACAAGATTCTACACTCCTACTCTCTAAAAATCCCTTTCTTTGTCCTAATTAAAATGCTATACATTAAATCTGAAACCAACTTAATTGACAGTGAAAGTTTTCAACACAAGCTAAGAATAGAAAATATATTTAAATATTTCTTGGTTCAAGAGTTTCATCTAGGTACTCTATAAAAGAAAATACAACAAGCATAGTTTGACTCTTTACTAACAAAACCACTATTTTCTCTACCATGCCACAGAGTTGAGTTCAAATCCCTTTTTTTTTTCTTTCCTTTTGTGCAAGAAATCTACCATATTTAATTGCTTCAAAGTTACCAGTCTGAAGAAGATGCACCTTGTGAATATATATAGATGGTAGTTATTGTTGGTGGGCGATTTTGGCAGAAAAAAAAAGGGAAAGAAAGAACAGAAAAGTTGGGTGATTCAATATGGACTGATTCCATTAATTAGTATCACCTACAAATTCAACGAAAATATTGAACTTGAGGAACCTTCCACCCAACCCAACCCAACCCAACCACCAGGGGTAGTAGAGAAACTCTACTGTCTTTTCCTTTGCACTTTATATAAACAAAATAAAGAATAAAATAATTCAAAGTCGAACGAAGCAAACATTTGAGCAAAGTCCCAACAGCCTTCCCCTTGGACTTTACTTAAACCCATTTTTTTTTCAGTCACTTCTTCCCAAAACAAAAAAGAATCATGGCGCTTTCGCTTTGCTCTCTGAGATTCCTTATTTTCATCTTCCTCGTATCGGCAATTCCCGTGGCTTACATCATCTCCGTAGAACGTGCCAAGCCTCCCACCCACGTTTTCCACTACCACAGCGCCGGATTTTTCCGGGAGTGCGCCAAGTGGGACGACCAGGGCAGTCGGTTCCTCGTTTCTTTCTTGGAAGGTGGCGTCGGTGCGATCCACGTCCCGGAAGATGATTCACCTGACCTCGTACTGAACGAGGTCACAGTGGTCAAAGACTTCGACTTGACTGGAAATGCTTCCCTCGGCATCACCGTTGACCGCCCCAGAAACCGGCTGCTTGTGGTTGTAGCCGACTTGCTCGGGAATCGGTACAGCGCACTTGTGGCTTATGATTTGTCCACGTGGAAGCGGCTCTTTCTTGCCCAGCTCAGTGGCCCTAGTAAGTACAACCATTTATCTTTTGCAAATTATAAATTAGTATAAAGTTATTATACTACAACAATATTTAATTTTATAGGTTGTGTTAATTAGCATTTGAAAGTGTTTATAAGATTAATTAAAATAATTTTTAATAAATTTCGAATAAGAATTGTAAAAAGTGTCTTTCAATCCTTAACAAAACCCTAATTTAATATGTAAAACAAAGGACAATAAATTCTACTTGGGTTCGTCTCATCCTGTTTAAAATCCTGTTAGGTTGCTAGTAGCATGCTCACATGGTCTTTAATATAAACCGTCCGATTGTTTTTGTTTGTTGGTGATTGGGTAGGGCAGGCAGATGATGTAGGTGGTCCAAAGTTGTTTCTTAACAGAAGCGTATCATTTATTGAATTTGTCGAATTTGTAGTCAAAGTTTCTGCCGGAATCTGAACTTGTCTCAAGCTTTTGATATTTTGCTTTTGTCTGAGCTATCTTATGGTAGTTTTACATTTTACCATAAGTATTTTACAGTAGAATTGGATTAACCTCTTTATTTTATGATGATAGTTTAGTGCATCTTAGGAGGAATTTTGCATGATATCGAGGATTATAAAGCATTACTACTAGTAAGTGAATTTTGGATAAACTTCTGAGGCTATGGAGGCTTGTGAAGGCTGTTTTCTTGCTAGATCAGGAGGCTTGGTTAGGGGCTACTGGGCTGTTGAGATGATTATGTTATGACTTATTTGCAACATCGTAAGGGTCATGGTCAAGAAAGGGCTGTGCAAGTCTTGACTTTCAATGCTCAAAATATTTTTAAAATTATCGTGGCGTTTGATTCTGGGCTAAACGAAGCATAGTCAAAATTCAAAGCCCGTGTGAAGCATGTGACTCGGGCCACTTGGACTCTGAGACTTTCTCTCATTTGCTCAACTTAGAGACTTTCTGCATCTTTAATTTTAGTTTAAGAGTTAGCTTGACCAGACAATCCATCAGGCTGTGTGCC